AATTACATTTCAGGTTTCTGATCCAATTAATTAATTCTGTTGGCGGTGACAAGAACTGCATGAGGTGTTAGACTAGTGGGATCAGACCCAACCTTAGTTAAGCAACCTCAGAACTTGAGTTCTGGCTAGAATTCAGAGCCAAGACTCAAACTAGAAGAGAATGTTTATTTAGAAAATCAGTTAGGAGTGATCCGTGGAAGAGATAGGCTTAGGAAACAAGTTACAAAGACAAAAGAAGGGGACCCTGAGAAAGAAAGAAAACGGGCCTTGGGGGTGGGGTGGGAGGATGGAGGGTGGGAGTGGGCATATGGGGGGTGAGGTGGGGATATGGAGAGGTGCTGGACGTGCTTTCAGGAGGGAGAGCATGCTGGGTCCTCCATCCTAAAAGCTTTTTTAAAAGAATTTAATTAATTTATTTATTTTTGTTACAGATGTTTCTCCTTTTTCCCCTACTGATACCCCCTCCTACTCCCTCTCCGCCCTGTCCCCAGCTTTGTTGTCCATGTCCATTGTTCATGCATAAATGCATATAAGTTCTGTGGTTTATCTCCCCCCCCACCCCCTCTTCTGGGATTGTCAGTCTGTACCCCACTTTCACGTCTCAGGGACTACCCCGTTCCTCAGACTGTTATGTTCATTCTGTTCTACAAATAAGTGAGATCATGTGATATTTGTTTTTCTCTGCTTGGCTTGTTTCGCTTAGGATTATACTCTCCAGGTCCCTCCAGGTCCTCTCAAAGGATAAGAGATCTTTCTTACAGCTGCCTAGTACTCCATTGTGTATATGTACCACGGTTTTTTATCCATTTGTTTACTGATGGACACTTGGGCTGTTTCCAGATCTTAGCTATTGTAAATAGTGCTGCTATGAATATGGGGGTACATATATTCTTTCCGATTGGTGTTTCAGGCTTCTTAGGGTATATTCCTAGGAGTGGGATCACTGGGTTCCTAAAAAAAAGCTTTTAAGGGTGGAGAGCTTACCGGAGGTCCCAGGGGAGAAACTCAATAGCATATTCATCAGCTTTCCAGGTGTGTCGGTTCAGGAGATGATAGTCTTCACTGATTGGTGGGCATCAGGGCAGGTTTTCATTAGTCAATGCCGCTGGTCCTGGCATCAACAGTGAGGTTTTGCTGTTTTTCTGGGTCTGGAGTTAAAATACAACTGAGGCCTAGATCCCACCTCCTGGGAAGAAGGGAAAGGTCAGGGGTTCTAAACTGCCTGACCAAGGAGGATATGAAAGGTTAGGGGGTTGAAACCTCACAACCACTGTTATGCGAGGGGAGGAAGGTTTACCCCGGGGGCAAAGTCCTTGCTTTCCCAATTCTACCCATTGTTAGACACCTGGGGCTTTTCACCCTGACGACTTTTTGTACCTGGGCTATCATCCTAGCTCTGTTCATGTCTGTCTGTCTGACTGCCTACTACAATTCTGTAGCAAATGTATACTCTTGACAGAGTAACATTGTGGCAGCTGCTACAAACAGTGCATCCTGCATTTATACAGATTGAATCTGGTGCACATTTAACTAAGAGTAAGGTGTCAAGTATCCATTTAAAGACTTTTCCCTGCTCTGTTAAAATATGATTTGACAGGAAACCAAAGCAACCCCAATTTTAGTTTAAAAGTCTTCTCAAGTAATATGCAAACATATTAATTTATCAAAAATGGTGTATTTTAAGCAAGACTGAGTAATTTAATGGTTGGTGTACATAGGCTAAAGATCTTTTCTTGTAGTAAGAAGGTAATTCATGATAACTCCCACTGAGGGAGATGTTATTAGGAAAAATATATAATAGTTTTGAGAAAGATTAATGAATTTTAATGGGACAGAATAATTTTGATTAAAATACTTGTTTTTAATTATTTATAATAAGAACACACTGATTATTTTTTACTTTTTGATAAAACACACATTTAGTTATTTTATTTTTATTTTTATTTTATTTATTTATTTATTTATTTATTTATTTATTTATTCAAATCTTTATTGTTGGATGTAAAATGTATTACAGACGTTCCACATTTTTCCCCCATTGACCCCCTCCTCTCCCCTCCCGCCCCCCTCCCACCTTTTCCCATACTATTGTCTGTGTCCATTGGTTATGCATATAAGTTCTTTGGTTTATTTCTTCCCACCCCCCCAACCCCTTTCCCTTTGAGGTTTGTCAGTCTAGCAATGAATTTGTGCTTCTTAATCCCTTCACCTGTTTCACCCATTCCCCCAGCCCCCTTCCAAACTGGCAACCAACAAAATGTTCTCTGTATCTATGAGAATGTTTCTGTTCTTCCTGTTCATTTTGTTTGTAGATTCCATTGTTGATAGATATGTATTCATTGCCATTTTGTTTGTTCATATTTTATCTTTTTCTTCAAAAAGACCCTTCATCATTTCATATAATAACGGTTTGGTAGTGATGAACTCTAACTTTTTCTTGTCTGGGAAAGTTTTTATATGTCCATCGATTCTAAATGACAGCTTTGCAGGATAGAGTAATTTTGGTTGTAGGTTCTTGCTTTTCATCACTCTGAATATTTCTTGCCACTCCCTTCTGGCCTGCAAAGTTTCTTTTGAGAAATCAGCTGACAGCCTTATGGGAACTCCCTTGTAGATAACTAGTTGCCTTTCCCTTACTGCTTCTAAGATTCTCTCTTTGTCTTGAACCTTTTGCATTTTGATGATGATGTGTCTTGGTGTGGGCCTCTTGGGGTTCATCTTGTTTGGGACTCTCTGTGCTTCCTGGACTTGTATGTCTGTTTCCTTCACCAAGTTAGGAAAGTTTTCTGCCATTATTGTTTCAATCAGGTTTTCGATTTCTTGTTCTCTCTCTTCTCCTTCCGGCACCCCCAATATGCGAATGTTGGCACTCTTGAAGTTGTCCCAGAGGCTCCTTACACTATCCTCATTTTTTTGGATTCTTTTTTCTTTGCTGTTCTGATTGGGGATTTTTTGCTTCCTTATATTCCAAATCGATGGTTTGCTCCTTGGATTTACATACTCTATTATTGAAGCTGTGTAAATTATTCTTTATTTCAGTTAATGCCTCCTTCAATTCTAACTGTGTATCCATGATTTCTAACTGGTCCTTTTTTATGCTCTTGAGGCCCTCCCTAAGTTCACTGAGGTTCTCACTAAGTTCATTGAGCATCTTTATAAGCAGTATTTTGAACTCAGTATCTGTTAGGTTGCTTATCTCCATTTCGCTTAGTTCTTTTATTGGGGTTTTGTTCTGTTCTTTCATTTGGGACCTGTTTCTTTGTCTCCTCATTTTGGCTGCCTCCCTGTGTTTGTTTCAGTGTATTACTTAATGAGAGGTATGGGGCTCGCTGAGACCAGATGCTGCTTGTTTGAAAGAATTTAGGAAAAACCTGAAGCAGGATCCAAGACCAGCCAATCCTATGGTTAAGCAAGTGGCAACAGCTTGGGTGGGCTTGAAAGTTGGGTGGGGTGGGGCGGGGCCTCAGGGAGTCAGCAGGGCGGGGCTACCAGTGTGAGCCAGGTTGCTGGAGTCCCGATATGGAGACTGTCTGCTGTCCCAGGGAACGGCTCACCAAAGGAACAAAGGCCTCTTACAGCACGATTGTCCCCTCTCCAGCCCTCGCTCCAGTGCCAAACAGCTCAGTTCTTCCCTGTATGTCTCTGGTGCCCCTCGAGCTGCCTCCCCTCCAAGCTTAGAGGGAGAGAGTCCGATAAGTCCGTGCGTGGGCCCTTTAAGGAGCTACCTGGGGCTCCAGCCACTTCAGCCTCCCCGAGCCTCAGTTCCTGCTGGTTTTTCCAGCCAGAAGTTATGGGAACTTCTCTTCCTGGCACTGGAACCCTGAGCGGGGCACCTGGTGTGGGACGAGGACCCCTCAGTCCTCAGGAAGGACCTTCCCAGCCGCGGGAGCCTCCTGATTTTTATCCGCCACACTTGGGTGTGGGACCAGCCCGTCGCGCTGGTGTGCCGCCACCCCTCGCACCGCCGCCCCTCCTACCAGTCTGGATGTAGCTGCTTTTTTTAATTCCGTAGTTGTAGGACTTCCATTCAGCTTGATTTCAGGCGGTTTTGAATGATGGTTGTTCTGTAGTTTAGTTGTAACTTTGATGTGGTTGTGGGAGGACGCGATACTACGTTTACCTACGCCGCCATCTTGACCGGAAGTCTTAGTTATTTTATTATACTGGGTCATTGCTTTTGGGGATAGATGAGATGATTCAGATTCTTTTTTTTTTTTTTTGTTCAGATAGAGCGGGAGGGAGAGAGAGGAAGAGAGAGAGAGAGAAACATCGATGTGAAGGGACACATCGAGTGGCTGCCACCCGCACGACCAACCAGGGCCGGGGACAAACTGCAACCGAGGTACGTGCCCTTAGCGGGAACCGAACCCGGGTCTCTCTGTACCACAGGCCGACGCTCCAACCGCTGAGCCAAACCAGCCAGGGCTGATTCAGATTCTTGTTCTTAGCACAGTGCATAACATGTAGGAAGAGATCATTATTTATGTGTTAACTGATTTGTCATCTGAATCTGCAGCCTGACTCAGTTCACCTTGTGTCAAATAAAAGACTGTAGCATTAATCAATCACACACACAGTTACTTACTGTAGGTCATGTTTGTGAAGACTATGATTCTCCCCAGTCACTTACCACTTTACAAGTGGCTTTTCCCTGGATTCAGGATATGGATTTTGTACCAGGATCCACTGTAGAAGTTGAAGCCAGTAGCTTCAGAAAACATCTGGGGTTTGTGAATTCAGGAGTATACCTAAACTGGAAAAGTCAGTGCTTCTAGTTGTGTTAATACTTGAAGCGGCGACTTTAATGGTCACAGAAACTTTGTGTGGAAGTAAAGAAAATTTGTTAAGGTATTATTCAGCTATATTTTTGAATTTTGTTTTATGAATAGTTAAATCTGAAAGTCAGGTTTATTATAGAAATGATAAGGAGAATAAGTGATAAAAATATATAACATGAATGAAGGAGTTCACTGATTTTTGATTATTATTTCTATGTGCAGGTATTATTTGGCTTCCTAAGATCCTGTCTTAGCAAGAAGAAAGTGGAAAATAATCTTGGAGAGAAAACTAAAACAATAAAAAAGCCAGAACTTATTTTCACATGGTTGTCAGCTTACCTACCAATATGGACACTCTTCACACCGTTTGTCCTCCTGGAGGAGACAGTGGGCTGAGAAATTCTGACTCCGAGTTACAAAAAATGTTAATTGATGAAAGGTTACGATGTGAACATCATAAAATTAATTATCAGACACTGAAAGCTGAACACACAAGGTAAAGTACTTAAATTTGGAGGTAAGGGGCTTGATTAAAAATTTTTAAAAAATATTTTTTCTGGAACATACAGTATTTTAGTTTTTTTGCATTATATACATTTAAAACTTTTTTAATACAGTAATTTTTTTGCTTTAAAATTGCTTTATTCAAAACTAAGTATGATGTGGATTATGAATTTATAAAAGTCTTATTTTTAAAGTAGCTAAGACATATACAATTAAATTTATCTGTGTGGCTAAATTGGTTTTTCCCCTCAAAGTAAAATTGCATTTAGAAACTGCAGTGTTAATAATTAAATGAAATTCTTATAAAGAAAAGATATTTGCAGTTTTAATAGAATATATGATATTGTTTTTCTATAGTGTTGGTTGACTTTACATAAAAAGTAATACAGTTAGAAAACAAGGAAGACACTTAAAATTGAATTCTTTTTAAAAAAAAAAATCAGGTTGCAAGATGAGTACAAAAAGTCACAAAATGAATTGACACGCCTGTTAAATGAAAAGCAAACTAACATGGAAAAATTTCAGCTGCTGTTTGAAGAGCTAAGAGAGGAATTATTAAAGAGAACTAAAGACTTAGAAGAAATAAAGCCGCAGGTAAGAAAATGTATTTGAGTTAATATAAAAATTGTCAGATATTTAGTGGAAGTAGTTTGGTGGTATACTTTAATTTTCTTTCTTATAGTCTAGATTTTCACTACCATGTAGGGTTTAGCTTATTTTATCCTCACCCGAGGATATTTTTCCATTTTATGTTCAGATAGAGGAGGAAGGGGCGAGGAGGGGGGTGGGGGAGAGGGAGGGTTGATAAAGTAAAAAAACTGAAACTGTTATTTTACGTGAATTTGAATTCTCTTGTTCTGATTTCAGTAATATTTCACTATTCAGAATAATTGAGGGAAAGGCCAGTTTGAATTGATAAATATCAGAATTAAATATTTTTTGAAAGAAAGATTTACTCATTTTTCTTATGTTTTTAAAGAATAATATGTTTTGCCCTGGCCGGTTTGGCTCAGTGGTTAGAGCATTGGCCTGTGGTCCAGGTTCGGTTTCTGCTAAGGGCATGTAATTTTTTTGTCCTCGGCCCTGGTTGGGTTGTGCGGGTGGCAGCCACTCGATGTGTCCCTTTCACGTCGATGTCTGTCTGTCTGTCTGTCTGTCTCTTCCTCCCCCCTCACTCCCTCCTCTCCCCCCTACTCCCCCTCTCCCTCCCTCCTCCTCTATCTGAACATAAAATGGAAAAATGTCCTCGGGTGAGGATAAAAAAAAGAAAAAAAATATATATATATTTTTGCTTTAGCTGATGTGGCTCAGTTGGTTCTATTGGCTGCCTCTTGCATACCTCCCTATCAGGGACAGAGACCACAGTCTGGGCATGTGCCTGACTCGGAATTGAACCGGCCAGGGTTACTAATTTTCTTTTAAGTATTGTAACTGAAACTAAGCTAAAAAAGACTGATAGGTTTTTGTTTTTTTTTTAAGGAGCTTTTTAATACACACTGTAAAAACAATATGTACACACAGTTTATGTGCATAATGTAAGGTAAATGGAGTCTCTGAAGCAAAAGATAGTTGGTACTAAAGTTTCTTTAATTCTTTTTTGCACTGTTTTTCAATTACATAGAAAGTAGAGCAAAGGCAAAATACAGCACCAGTCCAACTTACATATTTCAAACTAGTAGGTATTAATAGTGATATTTTCCTATATTCATTTAATGTCTGAATAGGACCAGCTATGTATTTCTGCTTATCTAGTGCTTGGTACAAGTAATAAGGTATTATTAATCTTGGAGTCATAAGTTGATAAAGTAAAAAGCTATCTTTCAAGTTATCTAGTGGGATGACTTTCAAGTCATGTAGTATCACCCAATTCCTGGATTTCTTTGACAGTGGTGTTGGAAGTTTGTCATTCAATATCTTATTTGAAGTCTTCCATTGTCGGGAATAGCAGTAAACTTGGGTTGGAGCTTTCACTGTGCTTACTGTTTCATTCCTAGGCATATTTATGACATTTATTTATTTATTTTTAATCCTCACCCGAGGATATATATTTTCCCATCTATCTTTAGATAGAGTGGAAGGGAGGGAGAAGGGGGAGAGAGAGAGAAACATCCATGTGAGAGAGATACATCGAATAGTTGCCTCCTGCACAGCCCCAACCAGGGCCGGGGACAAACCGCAACCGAGGTACGTGCCCTTGGCCAGAATCAAACCCACGACTCTGGTCTGCGGGCCAATGCTCTAACTGCTGAGCCAAACTGGCCAGGGAATATTGAGGACATTTAAACAAAAATAAAAAATAAAAACTTAAGAGGAAAATGTAATTTAAGCCATTAAAATTGGTGGATTAATTTGTTTTGCAAAAAATGAGAAGCCTATATGAATGCATTCTGTGAGCACTGAATCCAAAATACTGAAAATATTCTTCAGGCACTGCAAATGTAAATTACTCTGTTTCTTCAGAGTAACATCTCTACATAACTATTTTTACCAAGCACATGCAAACAGTAAACTTAAGAAGACTGGAGTGGCTAAATTAATGCCAGATAAAATAGATTCCAAGACAGGGAGTATCACTAAAGATAAAAAGAACGTTTTTACAACAAAAACAGGTCAATTTGCCAGGAAGATGATGACCTTCAACAAATAGCTTTGTTTCTGTCTTAGTTTTCTCATGTGGGAAAGAGGATAAAAGTGGTTGTTGTGAGGACTAATGAGATAACTTATATCTCAGTAAAGTGTGTGGCACACAGTAGATACTCATAAATGATGGCCATTTTTATCCTATTTAAATACAAGCTCTTTGGGGGCAGGAACATTTTTCAGTGTGTTTCCAGTGCTCAAGACGGTGCCTGGAGTTTAATGAATCACATGAATAAACAGAATACATGAATGAGTCAGAATTGTTCTCTTCATTTTTAATGTTGAACTTCGTCTTGCATGTAGTACCTAGAGTCTCAGCATTTTAGAGTTGACAATGATCTAGTTCTCTTTCATATCTGTTAGAGTTGAATTGTGTCTGACCTTATTTTGGAATTAGGGTCTGCAGACATAATTAAGATGAAGTCATACTGAAGTACAGTGAGCCTTTAATCCAGTATGACTGGTGTCCTTAGAAGAAGAGAGGGATGAGCCCTGGCCAGTTTGGGTCAGCAGTTAGAGCGTCGGCCTGCAGTCCAGAGAGATCCAAGTTCGGTTCCCACTAAGGGCACGTACCGCGGTTGCAGTTTGTCCCCGACCCTGGTTGGGTCGTGCGGGAGGCAGTCACTTGATGTGTCCCTTCTACGTTGATGTTTCTCTCTCTCTTCCTCTCTCTTCCTCTCTCCCCCTCCCACTCTATCTGAACAAAGAATGGAAAAATGGCCTCGGGTGAGGATAGAAAAATAAATAAATAAATAAAAAGAGGGGGATGGGGAGAATGTCCTATGGTGACAGAAGCAGAGCTTGAAGTGCTGTAGCACACCACCAGAAGCTTGGATAAAGCAAGGAGCATTCACCCTCTAGTTTTCAGAGTGAATGTGGCCTTGCTACACCTTTGGACTTCTAGCCTCCAGACCTGTGAAACAATAAATTTCTCTTGTTTCAAACCAACTGATTTGTGCCATTTTGTTATTGCAGCCATAGGAAACTAATATACGATCCAAGATACAATTCCATTTTGGAACATGTATGACATAGAGCTCTTCAGTCTCTCCTCCAGTGCTTTCAGTGCTAGAGAACCTAGAGAACTTTTAAAGTAATCCAGTTCCATTTATGAATTGGAATATGTTAAGCATTTTATCTCTCATATTGCAATGAACTCATCCTTCTTGTACTCTCCCTGTTGGTTCTAGTGCTGTTCCTTGGATCTACACAAAATAACTTTGGGCATTTTTCCATGTGATAACTTTCCAAATGTTTGCTGAAAATATAATTTATCTGGTAAAGTTTCTTTTTTTTTTTTATCCTCACCCGAGGATATTTTTCCATTTTTTGTACAGATAGAGTGGGAGGGAGAGAGGGGAAGGGAGAGAGAGTGAGAAACATCGACGTGAAGGAACACATCGAGTGGCTGCCACCCGCACGACCAACCAGGGCCGGGGACAAACTGCAACCGAGGTACGTGCCCTTAGCGGGAACCGAACCCGGGTCTCTCCGTACCGCAGGCCGACGCTCTAACCGCTGAGCCAAACTGGCCAGGGCTAAAGTTTCTTTTTTTCAAGATAAACATACCTGGTTTCTATGTGATATTTGTCTGGCAAAAATAAGGTAAAGAAACATTATGCATAATCTATACATATATTGGAGCAATTTAGCTCTTTGCTTTAATGGATGTTTGCAATTTGTACAAATGATGAGTTGAATAAAGTTCAGTAAACGAGTAAGATCAGCAAGAAATATTATAATGAACTTTTATGAAAGGTGATTATTTTAAAAATACACATGTATTATCTTGTCTACCTGCAAAATGCCTTTTCTGAGTTGATTTAATATCTCTTTAGCTGTTACAGAAAAATGGTATAAAATGCATTCATTTAAAGAATATTCCTGAGTTATGTGTAGTTGTAGTGAATGAGAATAATAATAGTTGTTGGCTCATAGTATGATTGTAATGATGAAATGAGATAATTCAAAGAAAGTGTTAGTATGGTGCTTTGATATAGTAAATGGTTAGAACATGTTAGCTGTGATTATATTGTCATTATGTACCATGTTAGCAAAAGCTTTTAAAAAAAATATGGAAGTCATTTGATACATTTCTTATAGAAATTATGAAAAATTACTTTACCAAAATTTGACATGTTGTGTGTGTGCATGTTGTGGCATGTGTGCACGCCAGGTAATGAAAACTACAACCCAGTAACTTTATCATTTTATTTGGCTTCTAGGAAGCTCAGAGCAAAATTCACTACTCACTTTCTCATTAATTTATTGAGAATATCTGGCACAGCAATATTTGCCCCCTTGAATTAAAACATTCTTTGAAAAATATTGGTCTATTTTATATTACTAATATGACAAGTGTTGGAGTGTTAAAGATTTGTTTTTATAGATTTAATAGAGGTAATGACAGACAGACTGCTTTGTGATAAAGCATTCTTGTAAGTTTCTTTGGAGACATGTAGTGGCAGTTTTCCATTAAAAGTCTAAGACAGCTCGGCCAGTGTGGTTCAGTGGTTGAGTATCGACCCATGCTCCAAGAAGTCACTGTTTCTATTCCTGGTCAGGGCACATCCCCAGGTTGTGGGTCTGATCCCCAGTGGGGGGCATGCAGGAGGCAGCCAATCAATGTTCTCTCTCATTGATGTTTCTCTCCTTCTCCCTTACTCTCTCTCTAATATCAATAAAGAAAAAAAAGTCTAAGACAGCATGATTTCTTTATAAAATTGCATGGGGAAAATTCTCTATATGTCTCTGGTATATGTGTGCTTTGAGAGGGGAATAGAGGTAAGAGATTTTTTTTTTTAATGTGTGTACTTGTTTTTAATAAGATTTTTTAGATCATAAAGAAAAATATGTTATAGAGACCCCTACAGATCATAAGACTCCTGTTTAGGTACCAATTTCAGTGTTATTTATTCCTGTGTATAGATCCTATTTCCGTCTGTATCATTTTC